GAAGGACAGCAGGTGGAGAGGGTTAGTGATTGGGTGTGAGGAAGGAAACAGTGCCGCAAACACTATTTAGATTCCTCTCTTTGAGGTCTGACTCGTAAAATGTTGCTGTCTGGGAAAACAAAAAACATTGGTCACAAGGTCAGTGTTTGGTGTTGGCAAGTGAAACATTAAGTTTAAATCAGACTTCTAGGTAGGCTTCAGTGACAAAAAAGACGCAAATAATGCGTTGCTTCTTATCACGATTTTATTGCTTGACAACTGTTTACTTCACTTATTGCTGAAAAAAACAAACAGTGGCCAGTTTTACAAAGGTAGACTTTGACTATAGATTAGTTCTTTAGATAGACATCTAAAATGATCTGGAGCACAATTTATCCATTTAGTCCTTGACAATCTTTAGCAAGGCGTATTGCAATTATTTCTTAACAAATTAAAACATTATATATACAAAATTTGGCAGACTTAACAACCATGGCCTGGGTGCCACAGCTTCAAACTGCTCAGCTTTGTTCACACCACCTCAAGATGTTCCCTCAGCAAGAATTTAATAGCCTCCAGGGATATTTTATTGGGAAAATCAAGCCTACAAGTGTGTAACAATGAATCGACCGCCACCTCTAACCATGGGTAAAAGTAGAGAGAACATAAAAGTCTGGGCTGCAGACTTACAATGCCATTAAGAAACAAAAGTTTAGTTTCTTTGATTGTTTATTTTACATGAATTTTTAAAAACCTGGAATTAACATATGCTACGTTTTTCCATGTACCAACAGGTGTTACCAACACTGGAAAAGAAATGGTGGCTCTCCAAGCTAAAGATATTTTACAATTTACATATGTAATTTCTTTCCATGGTTGTCTCCTGTCTGCTCTGTGTAAACACTGCCTGCAGTTCAGCTGAGAAATCTCTGAATTTTCGCGACTGTTGGTTGCTGTTGAGTCGCTTATGGTTTCACAGTTGCGCTGAGGAGCACAAAAAATGAACGTTTTTATTGAATCTGGTTTAAGCAAAGGGTTTCATTATGGAAATTTTGAAAAGGGATTTTGATACATAATATAATTATAAGCTTAGATTTGGTTAATTTTCCAGGCAGAGCGGCACATTATATGATTTGTTCAAAATCTGCTGATTGTTTCTGTTTCTGGCTTTGATAAATCGTGTCATTTTAGCATTTTTTAAAAAGAGAACATGCCTTTGAAACCCACCAGCATGAGTTGGGGTTCAGGGTGTTAAAAATATTTTAACAAAAGGACAGCACCACTGACAGGGGCATCAGAAATGTTGTTAAGACATACAACAAATTGAGTCTGCAATTTACAAAGACATTTTAAAACAGTAAAAAAAATTTAAAAAAGAAGCAGTAAAATGGAATGATGTCCACAGAAAATGTTTAATGACACTAAAAAAAAAAGTAGTGCTTGAAGTTTTGAGTCACTGATTGCTCTGATTTATCCTGGGAGCAGGTGGTGAACGTTGCAGACTGTCTTTGTTAAACTGTCTAAAATGCACGACTTCCCTAAAATGTTCAACGTGATGGTTCCTGTGAAAAGGTGTAGGAGTTTAAAATCTGTAACCTTGCTTACTCCTTCAACTAGACAGACATTGTAGTTGTCAGTAATGCACACTGCCATCCATTTCTAGTACACAATTTAAGTTCAGTGCCAACATTCAGTACCCGTGCAGGGAGCAGTGGAGCAAAGTAAATGGAGCCACAGGAGTCTGTGTGGTGGATCATGTAGTCATCCAATTTTCATGTGGGAGATCTGAGTCTTGTTTTGTTGCAATCTGGGAGTTTTTTTTCTTTCTTTCTTTCTTTCTTTCTTTTAAATTCATCACTATAGTCTTTCATCAAACCTAACTAAGAGGTTTGGTTCCCCAACTTCAATCATAACTGAACCCAAGTTTTTGTACCATGGGCAGAACTACAGCAGAATGTAATTCAGGGTTTAAAATCAACCTTTTGTCTAGTGTTTGGGTTGTTAAACAACAAAGAGCGTTTTACTGGAATCAAACACTAGTCCCAGTTTGTATTTATCCTACATTTACTGCTTCGCTTTCATAGTGGAGTGATATGTTTAGAAGCTTTGCTCATTTCACAACATTTTGTGATCGTGTTTTGTGAGACTTTTGCTGCCACTGATCTCTTCCCCGCCTCCCTCTGCCAGTCTTTTTCCCAGCATGAAGACACAGGCGTGCTGCCCTGCTAGGCTGAGGTATCTGGAGAATTGCCTGAGTGGCAACATAACATGCTGTTTCTCTGTCTTCAGTCAGATAGCAGCACTGAGGCGCTAGCTAAATGGACACTCTGATTCAGTCCTGAGGGAGACTCTGCCGTTCACAGCACACATTCGTTATTACTGTCACTGCTGAAGACTGGTTGGAGGCAGAAGGCAGCACAGCCCAGTGCTCACAGCTCTAAGACAGACAACATTACAACAAATCCTTACAAGAGGATTCACCTTTTTTTTTTGTGAAGGCACAATTGGCCATATCATGACCAATGAGAGTGAAGAATAATGGGCTCTTTTCTGCAACCACTCAAGGGAATCAAAGTATCAAAGTATAAGTCCTGGACAATATCACAGAGGCTTAGAAAGTAGAACAGCATAGTGTGGAAGCTCTCTTCTCTTAAAGCGCTCTGCTCCTTCTGCTTACAAATGACCTCTAGCTCAGTATTTGACATCCTCCCGACTACTTCCTTTCATTTTCTTTTTAATTGTATTAGTCATACTGATGTCTGCATTAATTTGATTGCCTTGTGCTCTTATTGTGTTTAAGTTGTCTGTCTTTATGATGAACTGTCTGCTCTTTGTTTATTGATATGTTAAGATGATTCAGGCTATCTGATGTGGAAAGTTATGTTGTTGTTCCCAGTCTCAATTGGGCAGACGGTTCATATATTTGCTTTACATCTGCTCCTTATACTAACTTATGATGAGAAGTTTTCTACTAGGTCAAGACTTCATTTTGAAAAAAATGGCATTTTTATGCAACTATGAACAAAAGGGTCTCTATTCCTCAGAGTCAGATGTTTAGAACTCATCTCTGTGTGTTAAGTAAAGAGCTGGATTGAGGATGTGATCAGCCTAGTTTAGTGTAATGACTGGAAACAGCTCACTTAAGTCTTTCCAAAGGTCAAACATACATCTACAAGGGTACTTAAAAAAGTTCTTGGCCTCACCAGAAAATGTTGCAGGAGAAAGATTGTTGTTGCGTGTTTTTTTTTTTCAACATAGTCTCTTTAAATCTGCACTGTCCTTGGTCCATCGATGTTCAAGCTTTGCTATTCCTTTGTGGCTTTCAGTTTGCAAAACAGAAGGTAAGAGTAAGGGTGAGAGTAAGGTGCATGGGGCAACAGTTCAAAGCCACTGTTTGCTTTTGCCTCCTGTGCTTTGTGGACCAGTGCATTATCCTAAAGCAAGTGCACGCCAAATCCAAGCTTTTCTCTCTGTTTTTCTTCAATTGCTTTAAACATCAGAGTTTTTGTGGACAGTGATATAAGGCTTTGTAGTATACAATTATGACCCAAAATAGGACTTATGCCCCTTGTTTTGGGTTGAGGATGAGACTGTTTTAAAGTACCCTCCTACCAACATTTCTAAAGCTCGCTGATGAACTTGTTTGACCGATCTGTACACAAGCAGTAAAGTAGAGGAAGTTAAGTGGAAGGTATGTGCTGGAAGCATGCCTTGATACTTTATACAGTGGATGAACACTTTGTCCACTGGCACTTTCACTGTGATTGAATCTTGGTTGCAGATGGTCGTTGTGCCCAGCTGCTGAGAATAAATAGTTCCTGCACTTAACTCCCATCAAAACAACAATTTGGTCTTTTAACATTTCAGCTTAAATTGGCAACAGACAACTATGTAACCTGCTTTTGTCAATCAACCATCATCAGTGTTGCTGTAATTAGGAGAAAAGCCCTTTTAATCAATGGTCAATGGTTAGTTTTGGCAGTGAGAGGAGCAGACTACCTATGAACACTCTCTTGTATTCACAACTCCCCTGGTCTAAGGTAGACTGTGAGGTCTAACTTATTTTACCTAAACTGAATGTTTATGCTTAGTCGGTCTGAAATGGCACTTTGTCAAAGTTGTCGATGTGGCAGCATTGTGTTCAAATGGAGGACCAAACAGTGGAGTGGAAACTTTGCAAACAGTCGTCTGCATATCACGGCAGAAATCCTCTGAATATGGGGAGGTGCATGCTGGTGCATGCAAATGATTTATTATGCTGCAAATAGTAGCTTTTTATGTTGATTTATGACTCATTTAGGCTAATAAGGCTAACAGGTAGAGTGCATTGGTTGCACTGTGGCCCATTTAGTTCATCTAGCGATGAAGTGCAGACTTCTTTCCCCACGGCCAATCGACTGGTTGAACAGCAGGTACGATTTTTTAAACTAGGATTTTTGTAGTATCAAACTAATTAAATGATTAGAAAACTAATTAGGTTTAGGACAAAAGCTAATTTAATTAAAGTTAAGGGTTTGCTTTGAACAAAATCTTAATTTTGTAGATGTTGGGCCTCATATGATTGCTTTTGCAGTAGGAGCAAACACACTATCCATCCACCACTGAAGTCCATACTCAGAGCTACACAGACCCACTAAGAGCCCCAGGACAAAAATGAACACAATGTTTACTTTATAAGGCATATGCATACTCTGAGTGATGATATAGGATCTATGAGAGACAGACAAGACAAGATATCGTGCAGGACCTTCCTCATACTTAGTACTACAATTCCATTATTTTATCATTTTTGAGCCTTTATTGGTGAGTGTTCTGAAATTAAAGTGTAAATTGACCACCCAAGGGTCTGCAGGCTTGAAGCAGTTGCCTGCTTTGGAGTAATGTCAGTACTCATGCAGTTTATTTCTACCTGTAATATACTGCACATTTTACGGTTAAAATACCGAACTGCAGAACAGGGAAAATTAGAGGGTTAGTATTTTCACAGAAGGCCAGGTTTCACCACAGTAGCATTAACATACCATCTTCCTTGGTTTTGATGCGGGCTACAGAGCTCTCTGGGCCGGGCCCAATGTCAGTGTGAGCCCTCACCCACACCAAATACTCGGTCCACTTCTCCAGGTCCTCTAACACGTAGCTGGTGGCATCAGCACCGATCCCTGACACCTGGTGGTTCTTCAAGTCCTCTCCTGTGACTGCCTGGTAGGCTAGAGAGTAGCTCACTATTTCTCCAGAGCGGCTGTCTGTGGGCGGCGCCACCCAACTCACCTTAATGCTGGTGGAGCTGAGGCTGAGCAAGCGAACCTCCTGGGGAGGAGCTGAGAGGGCTGAGAGGAGGGGAGGAAGGAGGGTAATGGTCAAGCAGGGTGGATAATGGATGACAGAGCAAATGATCCTCTGGACTGCTGAGATATAAAGTCCTTACAGGATAAAGAAACAGAATAAAAATGAATTTGGGTTGGACCAGTGTCAGACAGTAGCGTTGGTATTACTAGTTTAACTACATCTGTCAGTAGCATGGTGGTGACAGCACTATTTTCTAAATTAAATAGCTTTTCAATACCAAGCTCTTTTATTGATAAAGTAATGTGGTCGGTAGCATCCACACAGGCTACATTTTGCAGATCATTTCTGAAGCGACAAGCACAGCAAAGCTTGTAATCAAAACTAAGTGTAAAAGATAAATATAAAAGTAGCCTCACATGCAGTGAACTACTTTTGCCTTTCTGTAGCTTAGCGTGCAACATGACTCATTGCAGTGAATTTTCATTTAATGTAGAGTAACTGCACTACAAGTGGTTCACCCAACACTGGTTTAAAAATGTAAAATGGCCTATGTCTGAGAAATTTTTGTTAGTTTTCTACTAATTTGCTTTTCCATTATGTCTTGGAGAAAATTTATTGTCTGTCTGGCTTATGTACAATGTTTATATTTCTCATCCAGAGAGAGTGGATGGTTGGTTGTCCAAATGCAGGACACTGCAGTTCATGTGTTTAGTCTATTATATTGGGTCTTTAAACATAGTTTTTGCTATAATACTGTATTTTGTACTGTAGTTTTTGTTGTTTTGCTGTTTTCATGCTATGTCTTTCAAAATCAAACTTTTTATTAGATTTTTAATATTTTATTCCTTTTATGCTTTGCTTTAAATGGATATTTTCTAGTTTTAATACATTCATTTTAACATTATGTATTCTTAATGGGCTGCAAGGTGGTGCAGTTGGTTGCACTGTTGTCTCGCAGCAAGAAGGTTGCCGGTTCACGTCCTGGTGGGAGCACTGGGATCTTTCTGTGTGGAGTTTACATGTTCTCCAGCCCCCTGCGACCCTAATGAGGATGAAGCGGTGTATAGATGATGGATGTATTTTTTATCTTTTTTATCTCCTGCTTTTTCATTTAAATGTATTTCATTTTCTACTTGTTCTGTCTTATTGTTGGCTTATCAGTCCATTGTGAATCACTTTAAACTGCACTAAGTTGCATAAAAGTGCAATACAAATAGTTTGATTTATTGATTGTTGTCAGATTTAGGTCACAAAAACAATGTTTGTGACAGATTGTGGTCTTGGTGAAATGTTGAAAAAGCTGTGTGAGTGCTTCAGCATTGGCTTTTTCAATATTTAACCAAGACAACAACCTTTCACTGACCTCAAAAAGATAATTCCATGTAATTTTGACATTAGATTGATTGTTGCAGTTTTGGCTTTTACCAACAGTTTTTTTCTGATTTTCTAATCCACTTTATTTGAAGGTCAAGTTGAAAATGTTGCTATAATCCCTCACTGCACAGAAAACCTGTTGACCTGCACAATGGCAAGAACAACGTGTGTCAAAGTGTAAAGCTGTGTACAGCGGGAAGTTTTGGTAATTACTTTACTGCTCAGGCTTATTTCTCTCTTCCAAACATGTTTGACTGTGTTTCTAACCTGTCTGACTGAATCATGTTTCTTGACCCAAGCCAGCCTTAATTTCAAAACCTGATTCAAGCTAAACTCACATTTTACAGTCCATACTTATACTTACATATACAGGTAAACATGATTCACTCTCAGTATGTCTGGGAGTAATGAATGAAGGAAAAAAATAAAATAACATAGAAAAATACATAAATAATCAGTTAAAACTAAATGACCAATCATTTTTCAAAGACCATCTGCATTATAAGCAGCAAAATCTGACAACTGAATCCCTGTAATATGTTATGTATATATATATATATATATATATATATATATATATATTGTGTTGCCTCTAGATTCAGATGGATATTACAAGGAACTCTCAGTGAACAATAGTAATTCATGCAGACAGCTGAAGAGGGACCATGGCATATACACACAACATTTTACTGGGATTTATTTTGACATTTTTGATGCTTACAGTTCAGATGGTCATTGCAGATGTATTATTCATTATTAAGTTTAATTTAACCAGTTATTTTTTGTGTAAACATTACATTCTTTTAATATTTATTTTGTTTGATGTTCTTTTTTTTAAAAAAAATGTATTTTATTTACTTATTTGTGTTGTCATTCATTGATTACTGATGGAAAAATGAAATCCTTTTTTAACTGAATGCTGCTTTTGAAATCAGATCTTACACCCTCTTGTGATACCTAGTATATATATATGTACTGCAATACAGTGTGGGGGCTGCTTTAAACCTTGGTATATAAAACATCATAATAACTGAAACACATCTAAAAAAGATAATAGAATAGTAATAGAACTGAATGGTCCTTTAAGTCTAAATACAGTTTTAATGTAACTTAGGCAGTATGTTTTCTCCAAACCATGTGAATAATCAAGTAGCAAATAAAGTTTTTTAGAAAATGAATAATTTTTTTTTGATTTAATTGACTAATAAACTAGTTTCATGTATTACTGTGATCAATCTCCACAGTCCAGAGGGCAGACAAAAACAAAAGTGACACTTCGTGCTGTAACATATAAGAAACACAGTGTGACGTTTCACCAACTGAAAAGTAAAACAGGCAAACAACAGATGAATGCATGTATGCACAATGATACACAAGAGCAGAACGCAACAAAACATAACAAAACCAGCCGCTGAGATGAGTGTGGAGCAGGTGGGAGAGATAACACGAGGAACTGTTATCACGCTCGCAGCCCCAGCAGAGCGTGTGGACCCAGCAAAGTTACTGTTTGAACAGTGTTGGAGGCTGGTTGGCTCTCGTGCTGCAGAGGAGCTCGTGACCGGTGCAAAGAAACACGCGATGATTCTGTCACACATACTAGCACTTTTGGATACATCACTGCAGGGGCGCAATAGATCAAAGGCAGAGATGCATGTGTGGGAGATGCACAGCAGCAGATTAAAGTCACAAATAGAAACAGGAATATGAAAAATACCAACATTTGGAGTAGAGGTGGGTGGCTTCGAGAAAAAGGGAATTAAGATTTGGACAGAAAAAGAATGAGGTTCACCCAAAAGGAAAAGCAGATGATATTACTGGAATATAACAAAGTGGCATTGTGTCGAGAAACAGCTTAGATAGAGAGATCAGGCTGCATCTCAGGGGCTGCTAATGACTGCCTGTATTTGTGTAAAATAAAATAAATAAATAAAAATCCCACAATTTTATCTCTGTATGAACCAAAACCTGTGGATTTAAAGGGGTTGGAATCTGGCACACATTAGAAGCCAAAGCCAAACTAAAACCAGAGGAGAAACATTTGAGCCCATATCCGTTTTAGCCTCGGCAGGTGGTAGACGATGCAAGTACATTTTACTTTTATAGATTTCTGAGCTCAAGGCCTTCAGCATAACAGCATGAACAAGCATACTAATCCACACACAGTTAGTCTGCAAAAACTGGGACTAAAACTTCCTGAAGCACGATGTGCAATTTAACAAGATATATTTGCAGTATAAAAAAATGGCCTATGACTTTCCAGAGGTCTTAAATTAACTATAAAAATTATTTAAATGAGATGAGGCTAGGGCAGTTTGCCTGTCTGTTGGAAGGAAGAAGCTTTTTCAAATATTGTTTTTCTTTTTTGATTATGTTTCATCTCACGAATATATCAAGGAATTCCTGCAAGCATGTCAGTCTGTTCTCCGTTTTTCTTGACAACTGTTCATCCAGTCTACTTCATATTTGGCAGGTGCACTAGTGGGGATCTGGGAAAGGCAGATTCAACTTTGAAGCTATTTAGATAAGCGGTTCTCAAAAAAAATTGTAAAAAATACACAAAAAAACATTTAACAGCAGTCAGTGAATTCGAGAAGGATGGAGCGACTCAGCGAAGTAATGACGCCACTGATGATGACAACAGTCTGTTGAAATGTTACCAGCTCCCGGTCAAAGCAACCTCGCCCAGAATCAGAGTGCTTTGTCAAGACGGCAGCGGCAGACAGCACCGTCCTATGTACTTTTTTAAAAAGTACAGTTAAAACCAGAAGTTTACCTACACTGCATAAAAAGACACATCGCCTTTTCTTTCTCATTGTTTGACATTAAATCAGACTAAGCTCCTGTTTTAGGTCAGTTAGGATGACCAAAATTATTTGTATTTGCTAAACGCCAGAATGCATCAAAACACTTCATCTATGGGACACAGAAACCGTCTCCGTCCTGAGCGGTATGATGGCTAGATATTCCCATGGTGTTTGAGATTGAGTGTAATTGTTTGAATAGATGAACGTGGAACCTTCAGGCATCTGGAAATTGTACCCAAGGATGAAGCAGACTTGTGGGGGTCCACAGTTCTCTTCCTGATATCTTAGCTGATTTCTTTAGATTTTCCCATGTTGTCATAAAAGGAAGCAGTGTGTTTGAGGTGTTCCTTAAAATACTTCCACAGTTGTGCCTCCAGTTTACTCAAATGATGTCAATTAACCTATCAAAAGCTTCCACAGCCATGATGTCATCATCTGGGCTTTCCCAAATAGTTTGAAGGCATAGTAATCTCACCAAAAAATATCTGAAAAATTATCTCTCTCTCAAAATTGAATTAAAGTAATTATTAAATTGATATTCTAAATGGGTTTTCATTGCCCTCGTGCAAAATCATTTCTGCACTGCTGCTGTTATGGTTAAACCAGGTGTTGTTTCAAGTTGTTATTTGGTTGTTTTATATTTTCTGCTTTCTTGTATGAGAAAAAAATGGCTTAAACTCGTAATACAGACTGTTGTTGTAGATGCAGATTACACTGATGTAAAAATAAATGTATGTTATCTTAACTGCATACAACTTCAGTCATGATGTGAATCCATGTCCTAACCTCTTTAAGTTTTCAATCCATGACTAAAAATCCCATGAATCCAAGTGTGAAAGGTTGACCACCATTCAGCCTTGAAT